AAAAAAAAAGTTACTCAAGTCAAAACAGCAGAAATCTCATGGGTCTACTTGTGCACTACTCACGGTGGTCTCTTAGGAGCATTTGGATCCTTCTGCTTTTTCCCTCCCTTTGCACCTTTAGGAGGCATGTAGTTTTTCATCTCCCGGTCATAGCGGACCTTGTCGGTTTTGGCCATTTCCTCAAACTTGACCTTCTCCTTTGAGGACACGGTCTGAAAAAACATGAGACTATGATTAGGTTCTGCCAGGCACAGCGTGTGGCTCTTTATCCTCCCGCCCTACATTTGCCTCAGTCCCTTGAGTAACAGATGCATAGTGTAATTCTGCCCCACCCCCTCCCCCCCGGGAAAACATTGCAGCCTTTCTGTTCAACTCACCTTCCATCTTTCAGAGCACTTCTTGGAGAACTCTGCAAAGTCCACCTTAGTCCCGGGGCTTTTCTTCTTATGTTCCTCCCGGCAGGTTTGCACAAAGAACGCGTAAGAGGACGTCTTTCCCCTGGGCTTGTTAGGATCTTTACCCATGGCTGTGATACGCTAAAAGGGATTAAAAAAAAAAAAATCCTCAAACTGTTGGAAAAAGACTCATAACGCAGTATGTATTTTCAGTAAAAATCCTGTCAGTCTTGCTTTGTACGCTGGTAAAGCAACGGAGAAATGATCGCTCACTAACGCTAACGTTAGTTAATCCGATCAAGTTCCTGTTTCGTTTCCACCAGATCACTCAACTAGAACAATAAGCGCCCCTCCATTTTGTTTTCCCGCCTAAACTGCAGGAAATATGCGCTAGAATGTCAGTCGAAAGCAAATGGTTTCAGGTTCTACGCGTTAAAAAGCTAATAAACCCACCAAATTAGCGAGGCATACTACTTTAGAGGACTTTTAGCTGCCTCAGGCTCAGTGCGCGGGCGCTGCGCTCCATTACGACCTCAAACTCCTAGCCAGTCATGGCTGCTTACGCTCTTAACTTTACAAGATCACGAAGCTGGCAAAATCCTTGCAAATCTACGTGTTCACAAAACCAACAGAGCTACAACTAAGACGCCAGCATCATTTTTCATAAACACTTTACTTAATTTAAACTGCAATAGTTAAGTTTTATGTTTCATATAAAATTCTTAATTCGTACAAAAAAATAAAAATCACGACCATATAACATCGTCTTTCTTAGACATGCTCGATAAAAGCTCCATATAAACAAACAAAAAAAATCTTAAAACATCTACCTGAGAAATTAAGACATGCTTACCTATAATCAGCCTCAACTGCTCGACAAAACGTACGTATTCTTCTGGTAAACTGTTTTGTCGCTGTGCTTGCAAGGCGCACAAACTTGATTAAATGCCCATAGACTCCACCCTCTGAGCTCTCGTCTGATTGGTTGGGATACGTTCAAATTTGAATCGGCAACGTTCTAGGCGTGATATTGAATTCCTATTGGCTATCGGTGACCGCAGTCACGTTTCCTCGTGAAAATTAGATCCAGATGACGACGCCACTGATCTCGTCAGCTATTGGTTGAACTGGGGATTTAAAATAATGAGCGGTAAGTCTTTGAATCAGGAAAACGCGCCTCAGTTTTATTCTTATTTTGAAAGGACTTTATAGCAAATATGAATACGTTGCACACGCAGAGAGAAAGTGTTTGAGGGATGATTTCCATGCCAAACAAAATCACATTCAGGTTTTGTTTTGAAGTTTTAAGTGGTATGAACAATGGCGCGCCATACGGACAAAAGCTGACTGGTGTTGATGCGAGTTTGAAGACGCCATGCCTTGGGTCTCGAGACTGGTGGTCCTGCAGTTCACACCTCCGTGTTGTTAAAACCATTTCATTGCTATTTTTCCAATTACTTTATACCCACGTTGTTATATGCCTTCTGCTGTACTGCTGTAAAAGTAACGTGGTTTTTGTAGTTTCTCATTTCTTAGTATAGGCTATAGCTTTTCTTAAATGTTCTTAATATTACTATAATTTACTGCTTAAATAAAAATATATTTTTACGTAACTCCATTTTCAACCGAGAATACATCGTATATTGCATAATATTTTTTTCTACGTGTTTGCCAATATTGCTGCCCTGTAATATACACGCATTTGGTGACGTTATTGTTGCGTTCCTAAACATACGTGATCACGTGATACTTTGACCTTTTGTGAGGGAAAGGGCGTTTTTGTTATGTTTGTTGTTGAGTACCATTGAATATTAGAAAGTATTAAAACAGTATAATGGAAGATAATGCATTGCATAGTTCACGAAAACATACAACTGATATAACAAACAATCATTTTCTTCTAATTTTTAATATATAAACAAAGTTGAATCATTATTATAACACAATAAGCAACATTGCCTATAGATATTATTTTTAGATGCTGTTTTTGCTATTCTCACCAGTTTGTAAGTAAATACTACGAATTTGTGCCAGTGTTAATATCATATAATATATATATATACATACTGGTAAAAAATGTATAGCCTGAATGCACTGTAAATCGCTTTGGATAAAAGTGTCTGCTAAATGCATAAATTAAATTAAATAATATCATCAAACACACATACATGTAAATGTGCCAATGTGATGACAAGTAAATAAAAATATATGCAGTTTGTTTAGCTGTTTAGACAAATCTGAAATTTGTATGGGCAGTTCAAGCCAGTTCCAGGCAATGTGTGGCTATAAAGATTCATTGTGGGAAAACACCCTCAGCTGTTCTGTTCGGACAACTGAAAGGCCAAGGGGGATGGACAACTGTAACTGAAATGTTTAGGAAGAACAAGGGCAGTAGTTGGATAGTGTTTAACAAAAAAAAGGTAACGTTTTATGAAAAAAAAAATTTGTGTATTTGTACAAACTTTATCAATATTACTAAAATCACACGAACATCTGATATCTTTGTACAAAAGTACATATTTTAGACGTTACTGTGATGGTTGACTAAATGAGGACTTCAGCATGAATTAGCATGACACTGTTACCACCTATATTTTAGCATTAAAACAACACCTCATTCTCCTGAATCACATCTCTCTACCTTTTGCCATTAGATTTGAATAGGTTAGGACAATAGAAATGTAAAACAGTTCTGGAGAATTAGCCAAATGGCTCTTTAAGTACCCTGAGCACAAAAGGCATGATTGAAAGGCTGATTCAAGTGTGAACTGGTCAAATAACAGGACTGAGTAGACCAATCTACACTGAAACCCCTTTGCTGTAGGATTTACTTTAAGCAAGTAACGCATTAAATGTGAAATTCTGTAGTAGAAAGACTGAAATGGTATTTTCTTGAAAAAAATGTACTCCAATAATCTTTGTTTTATTTATAGAACTTTGAACATACCTTGAATATTTTTTCAGGTTTTGACTAGCTAAGGAAAAACTTATTTGAGAATAATAAGGAGTATAGTGAGTATTGATGGTTGTGCTTCTATCCCAAATGTCTAGCACAACAACTAAAGCTATTGGGTTTCTGGTCTTTGTTATTCTATGTCCCTCTGTTGTTAGACTTACCTTTTTGTTGTGGACTCATGCAGTTTTAACTTTGAAAATGTGTCATTCTTTAGACTTATGGATTTCGTAGGTATAGAAAAATCTACAGGTGAAACATTGTCCCCTTTTCTCTCTTTTGTAACATGCCCTTCAGTTTAGATTTCTACATGAAGCATATACTGTTTGTATCTGTGGTGTGGTGCTATTAGAGTGCTCCAAGATCTGGCAAGAGCAGACATGCTGATACAAACCAAAACTATACTCTTATCGAAAATGTGAAGAGTGATAGTTAGTTTTGGTTGACTGTACAGCAAGCTAAGTAGCAGTGTCTTTTATATATATATATATATACACTTGAAATGTCTATACATATGTGCCAATATTGGCAGAATATGATTCCTATGACATTCTGATTTCCCCCATGTTCTGTCTTAAACATCTTAGTTCTTTTCTGATAAATGCACCCAGATATTCAAATTAAGAATTGTAATTAGTAAAAACACAACACCAAGACTTTTTTTTAAATTATTATTATTATTTAAACATTTCACAGTTAGGGCTAGATTGTTAAATTGTATTTGCCAAATGCAAAACACTAACACAATGGCACCATTTAAAGCAGGGGTC